GAAACTTTTGATAATATGTACTGTAGATGATGATATATATGTGATGTATGTAAGTCTTTGCAATTTTATGTTGAGGAACATTATTCTGAAATTGTGAAACAATCTTTACTCAGCTTTTCACAGATTGGTGAACCTCTGCCCATCTTTACTTCTGAGACACTCTGACTCTCTAAGATGCTCTTTTTGTACCCATTCATGTTACTGACCTGTTGCCAATTTACCTAGTTGCAACATGTTATTCCAGCTCTTCCTTGTTAGTACAACTTGCTTTGCCAGGTTTTTGTTGCCCTTCCCATCTTTTTTGAGATGTGTTACTGCCATCAAATTCAAAATGATCTTATTTCTTAAAATGGTAAATTTTCTCACTTTAAACATTTGATATGTTTCCTAGTTTCTATTGTGAATAAAATATGGGTTTATGGGATTTGCAAATCAATGCATTCTGTTTTAATGTAGATTTTACACAAAATCCCAACCTTTTTTTGAATTGGGGTTATATTAAATATTACTCATTGTGAATGTTCTTTATGGACAGTAAAAACCCCATGCTGTTCATAGCCAAATTCCTACTTACCATGTAGTTAGTTGCTGCACTGAATGTCCCAGCACTATAAGGTGATTAGAATGCCTAGTTCATCATAAATATGACCGTTATTGCCTATTGTGTAAAACCCTGTGTAGCTGGATGATCACAATGGTCTGAACTTTAATTACATTTATTGGCTCCAGTATTTCTAGGTGCTGCTGCCTATCAAATCTCTAATTTTAGCTCCCATGTCCAGTAAATCCTAGGAGCAATAGAGAGAACTTTTGTGTTACTATACAGGGGAATAGCAAATGAAGACCTCAGTTTTCCTGTAAAATTCTTTTAACTTCTATAAATGCTGCCTTGTGCTGCATGCAGTAAAATATATCAAAGTGGGTGATTTATGACTGAGTGCCACTGTAACACATTGAAATAAACAAAGGCATTATGTGAGCCTCTCTCTTTTGGGACCTTGGATTAAGTGATCACTTCACATCACACACAGTGTAATCCCATTTTCCATGTCTCCAAGTCATAACCAGCAGACATAAATGAAAATAAAGCGGCGTTATTTTTCCCTTCATGCCAGGCTTTGCTCCAGGCTGAATTGAGCTGCAGTATATCAGCTGGAAGTGTCATCCTTCCTGCAACAACTGCACCAGTTAATATCACAACAGTGCACAAGTTATCTTGTCATAGTTATTGCATTTCCTTTATCTTCACTCCCCTTTGTAAGAGATAAATGTGTCCGTCCGTCCCCTCCTTTGTCTGTATGAAGGTTACTATATGCAGTTTAAATAAACTGAATGCATGTGCTTTTAAAAGAAAAATCATTCACAAGCCAGCAATTTCATACAGGTTGTAGATGATAGGACCAGCAATTTCATACAGGTTGTAGATGATGATATGACCAGCCATTTCATACAGGTTGTAGATGATATACCAGCCATTTCATACAGGTTGTAGATGATGATAGGACCAGCAGGTTCATACAGGTTGTAGATGATGATAGGACCAGCAGTTTCATACGGGTTGTAGATGATGATAGGACCAGCAGTTTCATACGGGTTGTAGATGATGATAGGACTAGCCATTTCATACAGGTTGTAGATGATGATAGGATCAGCAGTTTCATACAGGTTGTAGATGATGATAGGACCAGCAGTTTCATACAGGTTTTAGATGATGATAGGACCAGCCATTTCATACACGTTGTACATGATAGGACCAGCAATTTCATACAGGTTGTAGATGATGATAGGACCAGCAGTTTCATATGGGTTGTAGATGATAGGACCAGCCATTTCATACAGGTTGAAGATGATGATAGGACCAGCCATTTCCTACAGGTTGTAGATGATGATAGGATCAGCAGTTTCATACAGGTTGTAGATGATGAGAGGACTAGCAGTTTCATACAGGTTGTAGATGATGATAGGACCAGCAGTTGCATACAGGTTGTAGATGATGATAGGACCAGCCATTTCATACACATTGTACATGATAGGACCAGCAATTTTATGCAGGTTGTAGAAGATGATATGACCAGCAATGCCATACTGATTGTACATGATAGGATCAGAAATATCATACACATTGTAGATGATATGACCAGCAGTTTCATACAGGTTGTAGATGATAATATGACCAGCAATGTCATGCAGGTTTTAGATACAGCTGGTGATTTCATATATATTGTAGATGATGTGGCCTACAATTTCATACACATTGTAGGTAATGTGACAAGCAACTTCATGCATGTTGTAAATTTAATGACCAGCAGTTTTATACAGGTTGTAGAAAACGAAAATCCAAAATGTTATGACTGTCACCAGAACAAGAGGTAAGGGGTAATTGTCCAGTGGGGACAACTGGTTATGCCATAGCAACCTCAGAACAGCAGTTTCATACGGGTTGTAGATGATGATAGGACTAGCCATTTCATACAGGTTGTAGATGATGATAGGATCAGCAGTTTCATACAGGTTGTAGATGATGATAGGACCAGCAGTTTCATACAGGTTTTAGATGATGATAGGACCAGCCATTTCATACACGTTGTACATGATAGGACCAGCAATTTCATACAGGTTGTAGATGATGATAGGACCAGCAGTTTCATATGGGTTGTAGATGATAGGACCAGCCATTTCATACAGGTTGAAGATGATGATAGGACCAGCCATTTCCTACAGGTTGTAGATGATGATAGGATCAGCAGTTTCATACAGGTTGTAGATGATGAGAGGACTAGCAGTTTCATACAGGTTGTAGATGATGATAGGACCAGCAGTTGCATACAGGTTGTAGATGATGATAGGACCAGCCATTTCATACACATTGTACATGATAGGACCAGCAATTTTATGCAGGTTGTAGAAGATGATATGACCAGCAATGCCATACTGATTGTACATGATAGGATCAGAAATATCATACACATTGTAGATGATATGACCAGCAGTTTCATACAGGTTGTAGATGATAATATGACCAGCAATGTCATGCAGGTTTTAGATACAGCTGGTGATTTCATATATATTGTAGATGATGTGGCCTACAATTTCATACACATTGTAGGTAATGTGACAAGCAACTTCATGCATGTTGTAAATTTAATGACCAGCAGTTTTATACAGGTTGTAGAAAACGAAAATCCAAAATGTTATGACTGTCACCAGAACAAGAGGTAAGGGGTAATTGTCCAGTGGGGACAACTGGTTATGCCATAGCAACCTCAGAGGCGATTTACTTCATACTTCCATACTTCCTGTTGGGCCTCTGGGGGTTCAGGAAGAGAAGAGAAATAAAAAATCTGACTGGGGTTTTCTGACTCTATGGGGTTGATTTACTAACCTAAACACACATAAACACCAGGTGTGTGTGATTTTCACACAGCAAAACGTATTTATCAACCAAAAAGTCTCTAAAAGCATATTTCCACTAATGCCATATATGGAAAAATCATGCACATGATGCATATATAATGCTGCTTCACAGTTTAGACAAAAATGGTTAGCTCATGCATTTACATTCCTGCATTCATCAACGCAAGCAACATAACATAGAGCTAATTTACACCACATTACCTTGCAATTCATTGCAGGGCTTTGAACAACACACCTGCTGGGTGTGTACACACTACAAAGGTGTTTTGATTCCTCCCATAGATCATGCTGGGAGGGAACACACTACAGAGGTGTATACACGTTCGTGGTGTGTTTAAAAGGTTAGTAAATCAACCCCTATGACTCTGACTCTCAACTCTCTAGAGAGAGTTGCTTTACAGTTTGTATGGTCCCATGTACTCTGTCTTCTTTGAAGTAACTCACTTCCTCTGCAAAAAAAAAAGACACAAAAAAACTCCCAAAAATATGTGATGATATATTCATACATTAGCTGTCATTCTAACTATGGGTTCTATGTTTATAGGATTTGGTGTGGGATTGACACAGAAAATGTTTGCTGGACATTCGTTCATCTGTATTTGACATAAGTTGGCTATCATATTCCAAGAAGATTTGCCTATCATTTTGCCAGTCACATCAAAATACAACTTTTTAGATTCCAATTACAAGCAAGATTTGCCCACCACTTTTAAATCCATAGAAGAGTAGCCTCCTCATTACACATATAGGGAATCCTCAGAAAATAATTGCCAAATCCTATAAAATACAGACAGACGGTCCAGCAAATGTCCTTTATAAACAGATCCCTATGTGTATTTCTGAGGTTGAGTTACACACAAGGAAACATGAAGTGAGAGAACCTCTGTCAGCACATAGTTGGCACCTCCAAGAGTCAGTTTTCCTCTATAGAGTATGATCGCCTGTAATCCTGAACTGCTCTGGTACGCAAATATTATCCTAGCTTCCTGCCTTGGTTTTAGACATCTGGGCAGCTAAAGATGAAAGCTGAGTGGACATGCAGGAGGTACCTGCTATGTGATGTTATCAGGGCTTTAGGTATCCTTTAACTGAACAAATTCTCACGTTGTGTCATGTCTCTCATTCTTTGTTCTGTAGATTGCATTTTCCAAGCTTCCCGGTTCAACTCCAGGCCTGCAAAGCTATTGCACTATTTATAGCGTGTTTAGATCATATTTATTTTATTGCCCACCTGGGATGGCGGCTGATAAAAATGCAAGGTCACATGGCTAACCCATTTCTAGTGATGTGGAATAATTTGATTTGTACTCACATGGAAGACTTTAAGTGAATTTTACATTAGGTTCTATATTTAGCAGAGGCAGTAGAGCGCGTTTATAATGCACAGAGGTTTATCACAAATGTCCACCTGTGCTCCTGTCATTTTAGTCATCTTTATTCTGAACACAGCTCTCCCACCTCTGCCCACTTATTTGCCGCTCTAATGCTTTATCAGCGTGCTTTGCTAGTGGGATTACTTGATTTGTTTCTCTGTGTGTTGTAAATTGAACATTGCCGGTAATTATTACCTTGTTTATGATTTACAGGGAAAAGTCGAAGAGGCTTTGAAGGCATTTGAAACCCTGGTAGCTGACTATCCGCAGAGCCCAAGAGCCAGATATGGCAAAGCTCAGGTATGTTATCTTCCAAAGAAAAGGGACACCTCGGTACTTTCAGTAATGCTCCAAAAATATAGTCATATAGTAAGTGAGAAGGCCAGCAGGACCGTCAAAGCTGGACATTGTTTGCAGGTCTTTTCCATTCTTTTCATATTGTTTTTTTTCTAATGTCAGTTGAGGAGAATAAACGGAATAAATGATGTGTACTGTAGATGTCAATGGAAAGTTCATCAATGGCTGCCATTGATGAACTTTCTTCTTGAGAATGCTAGTTCCCTGACAAGGAATTCTGGCACTCATATTCTGAGTCGGTAACTCAAAAATACTTGTCAGAAACAGCCAGACAACAAGCATTTTCATTAGGAGGCCAGCAATGACAGCCCCAGTGTCTCCCTTGCAATAGTGTTACGTTAAAGGAGAACTCCAGGAAAACTTATTAACCCTTGCAGTGGGGCCACCCCCCGCACTGCAAAGGTTAAAGAAGTATTAGGTCTGGGCATTAGGGTAAAAACCGCCCAGTACCTTTTTCTCTCCCCTTCTCCTCCCCACACTTACCTCTCAGCGCCGCTTGTCACCACAGCCGGTCCTGAGGCGATTCTCCATTCCCCGATCTTCCTGGTTGTGTGGGGGGGGGGGGGGGGGTGTTTTGGGTTAGTTCATCTTAAAAAAAAAAATATCTGCATTTTTTATTAAAATAATACATGGGAATCATAGCATGAAGGTTCTTGTTCAGGTAGTTCCTGTTGTAGGGTGACAACAATGTCCCCGTCTCCCAGTTGTGCTACTGTGTATACAGCTACTGCGGGCACGGGCGGGAACGAGACCACGCGGGTGTCTCCACAGCAGCTGCTTAGCTGATGGAGGCACCCGTGCAGGGGGCAGGGGTAAGAGCGCTGCAGGGACCCACTAGAAAACGAGGAATTGAACGTTTTAAAAGAAAAACTACAGCAATTTTATAAAAAGGGTGGGCCTCCTAGTAGTGAATATAGAAAAAAAATGAAGATTTAATATCACTTTAAGGGCCTGTTCACACGACGTCCGTTTTGTGTGCTGACCGGCTCCGTGCGCTGCTGCATTAAAAATGCATCCCAATGTATCCCTATGTGTTTTATGGGCTACAGTTCTCACGTGCGCAGTCCGTTCAGCTTACGACAGAAAAATACTGCATGTCACATTTTGTACGGTCAGGAAACGCAAATGCATCAAAAACGCACTGCACTGCAGCTAACATACTAACAGCCCCACTCCAGCAAAAAAAAAATATTTTTTATTTTTTTTTTTTTTACTGGAACGCATCAAAAACGCAGCCATAACGCACTGCATCAGTAGCACTGCGTCTGCAGATCAGGACCTGAAACTCATGTGAACAGGCCCTTAGTGTTTGTTTTTGTCTAGGTTAAAAATAAAAAAAAGTGATACTCACCCGATGCTCTGAGATGGTTTGTTCTTAGACCAGTCATTCCAGCCACTCTCCCTCTCCACTGCAGGTGGTCTAAGGTCCCGTAAATCATCATGTCTATACCCAGTTTATAGACGTGAGGACGATTCCAATGCTGCAGCGTAGGAGGAGAGAGGCTGGAGGGAGCGCTGTGACAAGTGGCCAGCTTGGAGCTTCGGGTGAGTATAACTTTGTTATTTTTTAACCTAGACACAAATGAGCAGTTAGCCCTTGCAGTGGGGGAGCCACACTGCAAGGGTTAATAAAGCGTTTTCCTGGAGTTCTTTAAAGTGGGGTTAGGCAACTTGGGCACTTCAGCTGTGGTTAAACTACAAATCCTGTCATGCCTATCCTTGTCAGTCTTCCAATGCCTCATGGGACCCGGAGTGCCGAAGCTGCCTACCTGCTTTAAAGCATAAGTAAACTCATAATTAAAAAATATCAAAAAGATGGAGTCAAGGCAATCCCCAATGTAAGATCAATTTGCAGATCTGGATTCATTTTTGAAAAAAAAGCTTGAGGGTTTAATACTTCTGGATCAACTCCAGGCAGATGCAATAAACAAAATGAATACAACCCTGTATTCATGAAATCATCATTAAATGAATGTGTTTAAATGCAAGCAGAGTGAGTGTTTGCCGCTTGCTCTGCAGGTCTCAGATTTGGAGGATCAGGACTGTGAAGCAGTGCCTAAGAGTTAAAGAGGGGCATGCTGATAGGATTAGAGAGCAGAGTGACAGAAAGATGCGTTGATCTATCTTCATCCAGGGCAGGGATAAGTCCTAGTTCTATTACTTTACTGCATTACAGAAAGTGAGGTCTCTTGCCCTGCCAAATAGGGCTGTGCTGTGTGGCAGGGCTGTGTAAATCTCAGGACTGAATGGACAGAAATACAAATTCTTTGGCAGATGAAACAGCTCCCATATGTGTATTTCATCTATCATATCTATGTATATACAGTACCTGTTTGTTCATACTTCAGCTATAGCAAGAATAAATGGAGTCAGCTACTCTTTCAGAGATCTAGTCACATTATTGTAATGCTGTCATTAGTTGCTTGTGTTAAAGTAAAACTCCAGGAAAAATACAACATTCAGCAAAAAGTACAGTATGTAAAGTAAACAAAATGTTTTTTACTTGTCCCTGCTATATTTGGGGCCATTGGTAAGAAGAAAACATAACAGAAAGAACACCTACAACTTAATTGAGCCATTCCTAACAGTGCAGTTTGAGTCCATGTTGAATCTGCTCCACCCTTTACCTAGACGTTGTTCTCTCCTGCTGCAAACGGAGTTGAGAAACTTTCATAGCTGTAGTAATGCAGCTCAAACATCACCACCACAGTGACAGACCGCCGGGCTATAAATATGTATTTTGAGATTTTGTTTCCTGATTGTAGTTCTAATGTAGAACACTGTAATGATTGGATACACTTGTACATGTTTATACTATGCATGTCTAATGTTCTGCTCTTTTTCCTTGCCACATTGTTGCTAAATGGTATGATTTGGGTATGTGAGACACTACTATGCCTACTATGCCTACTATGCCATACTGCTTCGTAGTTGTAACTGTCATGTCAATCTCAGATATCATTCCTACAGGCAGAACTCCCACTAGGGCTCTTTTCCTTTGTTTTCGTTTTTTTGTTTTGTTTCTGTATGCAAACTAAAGTCATTGTGAATTTCCCCAAAATGTGCATGCCTTCCACAAGTGCCTCTTAGGCTCCATTGACACCTATATTTTAGATGCCATTAGGGATTCCTGCATCAGAAACTTGTCTTCCTTCCTAATCTGCCATTTTCAAGCGGTTTACAACCTAATCTGCCAATTACAACGGCAATGGATGTGGTTAGGAATCAATCACTCTTCCTGGATGCATCGATTGTGCTTCTGGGTGTAGTGATTGGTTCCTAATCACATGTAATCATATCACATACGATTACATGCGGTATGCTGGCGGTCAAATGCAGCAGCTGCCACCCAATCATTAACTGCAGTGGGTGACAGCTACTGCTTGTAAAGGACAGATTAGGGATTCCTGATCACACCTAAAATATAGGTGTGAATGTAGCACACCTATAAAAGCTTTTCTGCTCTTTTTTTATAGGGGATTTGTGAAAAAATGCTTTTGACCTGAGCTGTTCAGCAAAGCAGAAATAAAACATATTAAAGTTTATCTTTAGTGAAATCTTTTTTATGTTTTAGATAGAGTAGGGAAGGATTAAAGGAGAAGTATTGGGACAGTAAAATGTACAGATGTCAACTCTATAGCTCGAGAGCTGAGCCATCACAAACCACTAATAGCTCAGCTCACAGTCTTCTCCCTGCAGAGAACAGTGATTGTCAGTCACCGCCCTCCACAGGGATTCCTCCCTCCCCTCTCTGTTCCTCCAGTACTCATTGCAGGGACAGGCAGAGGAGGGGGCGGGGACAGTTGGCTCTGGCTCTAGAGAGGTAGAGCCAGCTGTCAATCAGGCAATGGGGTGGATCCAAACAATATTGTCAGGATCTTCTGTGCAGTGCAGTGCTGGACAGTAGCCCACTAGATCCTGAGTTTGGGTCACAGGAGGAGCTGCTAATCCAGATAAAGTGAGCCAATAGGTTTATTGCTATAGTAATTTGAGTAAAGACGAATACTGCTTTTTACGCACAGCCGTGAATCAGATTTTTGATCTATTGCCTGTAGGCATTATTGCCCCTCTACTTCTCGGTCAAACCCATTTGTGCTTTTGGAATTAGTAGACTTAGGTTTAGGCACAAACACTGCTTTTTACTAGAATTTTTACAAGACAAAAACTACTGTCAGGTATAGGGGAAGTAGATCACGTCTCACTTTTTCAGGAACTGTGACTTTTTGAACTGTTCCTGTGCATTGGACTGGGAAGAGCTAGATTCTATAAAAGTCTCTGCCTAACTTCACCACCTCATCCACTATTCTCAAACACACAGCGAGCAGAAGCAGATTGGGGGTGAGATATACTATATGGCCAAAAATGTGTGATCATCACAACTGAATGAGCTTTTTGGACATCCCATTTCAAACCATGAGCAATAATATGGATTTACCCACTCCCAACCCCCATTTGCAGTTATAACAGCCTCCACTCCTCTGCAAAAGTTATTCATAATATTTTGGAGCGTCTCTGCTAACTTGTGCCTGTTCAGTCAAAAGAACATTTGTGAGATCATTTGAGGATGTTGGCCAAGAAGACATGGGTCACTGTTGGCATTCTAATTCATCCCAAAGGAGTTCAGTACAGTTAAAGTCAGGGCTATGTGCATGCCACGTGCATTTCTCCACATCTGAGTCATCTTACCATGTCTGGCTGTAACAGAAAAGGGCCTTTCACCTTCCTGTTGCCACAAGATTGTAAACCCACAATTATCTAAAATGACTTTGTATGCTTTAGCATTAACATTACCCTTCACTGGAAACACCTGAGCTCAATAATTTGGAGGGTTGTTTGCACACTTTTGGCCATATAGGTAGGTTTAATAGTCAAGTGTCCAAAACACTTTTGACCATATTGTGCAGTATCTGTAATACTCCGAGCCACTGGAACAGAAGAACTATATAGATAAGAACGTCAGATTTTACTCTGATGTTTCCAAACTGCAAACCTGTCCCCAATCAGTTACTCAGCCAGTGGCTCAACTTAAAGGCAATGCAACTAGAAATTTCAAGAGAACAGCAATGTTCGTTCCATATTTATTAGGGATGTTCAGATACCAAGAATCGTACTTGGTACAAGTTCAAGTACTGATAATGTTCCAGGTGCAAGACTAGGCCAAGTACAAACCAGACCAAGTACTCACAGATACCAATTACTGATACATTTTTGTTAATTTTCATTTGACAGTTTTCTTAAAACACTACAAACTAATGATTTTAGGTACAGTGGTGGAGCGCCAGGGCCCAGTTACAGCTGCAACCCTGGTGGTTGGAATATGTTTGTTCCATATTTATCTTTTGAAAGGCCTAATGTCCAGAGCTATACAAATCTTGTCTTGTCAGGCATGTTTACAGGCCAGGATTTTTGCTCAGTGAACATGCACTGTTAATTATAAAAATCCCTATAGACTTACTCTAGCTAATTTTTGGTTGCTGTTGTTTTGGACACAATGGGGAAAAGTTAACATTTGTTACCCTATGACAGGCCTCATTTTCCCTCACTTCCTGTCCCTTTGATATCCCTGCAAGAAATGGACTGCGTGGCTGTCTCTGCAACAGGAAGGCACATACAACAGTACAGTCATTGTAAGACGTTTTAATCCTTCCTCACTCTGCCTTACATGTTTTTTTTTCTTTGTGCCAGTTGGTGAGGTTTACTGATAGGAAGCAAGGGGAAATCTCAGTAGGGACACAAACCATAATAAAAACTTGACAAAGGCTCTTCATCACTGTATGCAAAACAAAATAAGTTTTGGCTGAAGTTTGGTTGTAACCTATAGAAGGATTATGGCGCTTAGGGATTGGAAAACAATGCAACCCTGGGCTAGTCTAACTAGAACGCATACAGTGTATCTGGTTAATATGGGCAGTATCTCCTTTTTCTTTTACTGTACCTCAATAATGTGCTATTTTAGTGGATCTGAACTCTTTTCTCACATCGGAATCCAACGTGCTAGTGTGTGTCATTTCTTGTTCATCTGAGACTTCAAAATACATGATTACTAAAGATTACTGCACTGTATTGTTCATATTTCTCAAATTTGGGGACCACCAAATCAGAATCTAGAACCCCATTTGGAGTTTCAGATTTCAAAATGATTGATGCAAATTATCTGAGTTTACTTAGGCATAGGTGAAGACAGATCGTATACAGCTTTAGAATTAAAATTAATTAGATTTAAAAATGAAATTGTAACATTTTCGTTTGGGCTAGAGAAGGAGATAGTTAAAACTCATGTCAATTCATTTTTGGGGGGTACATTTCTTGTCACTTCCTGTGCCAGAGAAACAATGGGAACTACGAGGAGACCGTGTCACATGAATCACTTTAAATGGAAAATGTGATATTTAACCAGGACGCACAGATCTGTTCGATAGTGACAGCGTTATGTCTGTGCCCAGCACTTTCTGCTCACATAACAGCATGGAAGAAGTTATTAGAGCTTAAGAATATTTCTGTATTGATTTATTGGAGCAGCATAATAGTAGGGAAGAGAAAAGCACGGGTGGTAGGGACGGAAATGCAGAGGAAATTAAAAGGATGAAGATGTGACAGATGGTGTTTCAGTGTAATAGGGAAGATGGAACAAAACATTTTTGAAAGAATGAGTTGGCAAGTAAGAATAGAATTTAGCCAAGCAGAGAACATACAGTGCAGACTGCTTTCTGAAGTTGTATATGCTGCTTGCTAATCTGCACACAGAAGCCATTTATAAAACTTGCAGGAAGTTGAAAATAAAACTGTAGGTCACAGCAGCTAATACTAGGACAGTCAGAATTTCTCTTTTTGTTGCAATTGATTTCTTCTTATGCCAATACATCACAGTAGGTTCTGCTGGCCCGTCTATGGCAAAATTAAAGTACACCTGTCATCGTATAAAACTGCTTAAACTTGTAACAGATGTAAAGTGTAATCGGGCGTGCCTCCACATACCCTTTTTTCTAAACCACCCAAGGAGTCCCTAAAAGTCCATGACATTTGTTTATGGAGATTTCAACTGTTTATAAGAAAGTCAAGTGTACTCAAACTTCTAGATGTCCTCCCCTGTGAGTCACTCAATGTGTAGCCCCCATTGACCAGAAGAAAGGCGTAACAGATGGAGGAGGTGGGCCTAGTCTTGAATTTTTCATCTAAATTTGACATTTGCTTAAATAAACAACCCAGGGTTCTGTATTCCTGTGATGTTTGTGAAAACCCACCATCACATATTACCTTCTCTTGAGGGGATCTCTCCCATCCATGACATGTTGGCACACATCCTCTGTTGTCAGTGATCACCACTTTCCCCAATATATTTCTAAGGAGTGGACATTACACTTACTTTAAGCGTAGTGTCACCCTATGCCAATGCCCATTGGGAATCAATTTGGCATGAAGTTTCACTTTATGATGATGATCCCCTCAGTCATTCAAAATGTGAGGGGCTTTTACATCACTGATAATATATCCATTTTATAGCCTGCCCTCCAGCTCTTTATTGGTGGGCTTCTTAATGCTGTAGAAGACTGCCCAGCTTTAGTTAAGAATAGTAGGACATTGACACTATTAACATGTGTAACCTTGCTGTACTAATAAATAAGTACTTTTAATAAGTACTACTGGTCTTGGCCATAACATGCCCAATGTACCACTTTAATGCTGTATTCAGTCTAATAAAACCCTATTTAACATAGCAGTCAATCCCTGTTTTACCTATAGTGTGAAGATGATTTGGCTGAGAAGCTAAGGAGCAATGATGTTCTCCTACGTGCTATTGGTTCCTATGAAGAAGTGTCCACATTGCCCAATGTGCCTGCAGATCTAATGAAACTGGCACTGAAAAGACGGGCAAACCGACAGCAGTTCCTAGGTAAGGCACTGTATAGTGGTGTTGTCTTTTAAGGGATTATTTTTCTTTTATCCTTACAGTACTCGAAAACAGTTTCTGTCATGATAGGATTGGTGGATTATAATAGTCTCAATCCGACACAGTAGCTTCCAAATATTTTAGACTCCATCACAATCATTAGATACCGCTGGTGTACCATTTCAAAGAAAAAAAAGATGATGTGAAGTTTTGACCTTTGGAATTATCAAGTGACATAAACTTGAATAGAGTTGTTTAAAATATGCCATCTCGAAGTGGCATGACTAGCGGCATAACTTGATTACTGAACGGACACAGCATTTCCTCCCAGCACACAATAATAACACAGAACTGTAATGAAAATGACAAACTCACCAGAACAAAACATTTCCATTTTCACCTGTAGGCACTCTTTATGCAAAACAACCTTTTATTATTGAAATGCATAACAATGAAATCAATCTGAGTGTCTGTGAAGTAGTATAAATAATCTTCACTGTATTGTTAAAAAGCCGCTTGTTTTTCTCAGTTTTATAAAAAAATATTCTACCTTTCATGTTTCTTATTTACTGGCTGTGACACTTGAATGGTATCAATTCTTCTTTAAAGGTTCATTCAGTGTGCTTTCATATGGGGATGTTTATTTCCATGTGTAAGGATTTATTGCATTCTTGTTGTTTCCATAGACATCTTAAGTCAAAAGTTAATAAAAAAAATTTCATAGCTCTTCTGTTCAGAAAGAGCATTAACATTAGAATTAGTTATGCGTCTGTATTATTTTCCAAAAACTGAATGCGGCTCAGCTTGTTTAAGAACACAGTTCTACAGACAAAGCGTAGCTTGTGAATAGATCCTACAAAGGAATCTGCTGTCCCAACACAACAACTTTTCCAGGAGCCTCTGAGAACCCCTCCACACTGCTCATAATTGATGTTGCAGCTTTATTCAATAATTTACATAGTACTGGTGCCATCTAGATTGCACTCAACTCTTGCCACGTTCCTGCAGAATATCTTTCAAGAGGTAGGTGATACCAATGCTCACAATAAACCAAAAGGTCTGGCGTGGGAGGAGATCTGAAGAGAATCACCTTCCTGTCAGGTTCCTCGGAGATCCTTAATGTGATCAGACTTGGCAAAATCCATGCTGGGTTATAACTTTATTATTTAAAGTGCACTCTAACCATACATATGGTATCTTTTACGCCGAGGTCTTTTTATCATTTTTCTTCTGGCATTCCTCCTGTGCAGCTGGCTGGACCATAATTATTATCTCCTGAATGGCCTTGAATCTGAAAATCCAAGCCTACTGCCTCTCTGCACTAATGCAGTGCAGACTCTCATAGCAAACTACCTTACTTCTGATCACTAAAGTAATATGTCTTAATATGAACTTGGATCGATTACTTGTCATGTTCAGTATTACAGATATCTGACATCAAGCAGGTATTAGCACCACTGTTATCCTAGCCATACACTTCTAGATTTCTCTCGTTCAGCAATGAATGGATGGAGGAATTTCCAGTGCCAGTTATGGTATTCAGGCAGTCGCAGTATCCACGCCTGGCTGAATACCTAAGCAGGGACTATCAAGCCTTGTGATTCTGGCTGGTCCAACAGGTATGTGCAGTGTGAGGAGGCAGAGCCTCACCTGCCATTATGGAGGAAAAAAACTGTCTGCTTCAAGTCTGAGGCTGACAGCGTTTTCTCCACTCAGACCAGCTTCTAACAGGTTACACAGAGGGAAAAGCCTCCCCGCTGTGTAACCTGTCATGGACGGAGTGCCTCCTGTTAATTACAGATTGCGCTTCATCCAGCTTTTGACAGCTGTGTTAGGTTACACTGCCGCGGGATTCCCCACTGTGTGTAACCTAACATAGTGATGTCAGAGCTACAACAAATTGGAGTCAGAGGCATAAGCTCTGTGGATGGTTTGGACCAATGGCAAAGTGCCATTGGTCCAAGCTGTCCAATGAAAAGAAAAACACTGACGGCATCCATCTAGATGCCTCAAAAGTAACGAGCAAGTGAGGGAAAAGAAAGGCTCCTCCATGCAGGCAGAGTGGTTTTCGCAGATGAACACTTAGCTCAGTGACCAGATCTGGGGCGGGCTAGAGTGGGGCCACACCTGCCACTGACCTCACCGCATATCCCTGAGTTCCATCTATGCCTCAATTTTGTCCAGTTCAGCAGAAATCAGTTGAAATTCGAGCAGTCTACGACCTCCCATATAATTTTACATTTCCTATTCTAATAGCTTGGTTTTTAATGTATTTTATGCTTCTAAGAATGCAAAAGGTAGACAGGAACAAAGTCTGGAAGTATGATAGACAGATTCTATTGACTCAGCTTATCAGCTTCTCCTATAACTAAAATAATACTTTTGGGTAAAGGCGCAATGAATAGTGGTAATGCACAATATCAATTCAGATTTTATCTAACCCTAGTTATACTACTAAGAATAAAGACAGCTGATTCTATCCTATTACTAAATCTGGGCACACACAGTCAGAATTTGTTCCAGATTTGATCAGACACTGTAGCTGTGGCCTTTCCAGACAATCCATTTGAATAATATATAATTAGATACTTGCTTTACCCATATTGGTCATTTTGTTTTTCTAAAATGCCATATCTGAAGATACATCTGTGTGCGGTGTACTGGAAGGTGATTGCACTTACTAAGCATAGATCCTACCTTAAAAAATAAGAACAAGTCATAGGCTGCCAGTGTAGTGCCAGATGTGGCATAGGCTGAGTAATGCCAGATGTCCATATTAACCTACGTGGGCTTGCAGTAGGCAATCAAATAGAATGCCCGGCTTCACCAATCATTCCTTTATCTAATGTTGGTTCCCAAAGTTTGTTCTTACACTGTCCAATTATCCAAACAATTTGCTGAAATTAAAAATGTATTTAAAACATATAAGCACATAAAAGGGACCTCATCAGTCACATGTCTAAAAGGAGATCTGTCTGTTGCCCCAAAGCCATTAATCATATTTACTATAAACCTGAACTGGAAAGTAACAGCTGGAGAAAGAACGTTTGAAATAAATTGATGCTTGTGGGGCAACATAGAAGACTTATTTCAGACACTTGGATATGTGAGGCCTAGTAATACACAGCTACGTGCACGATATATAAAGTGCACTAACCACATTTATTGCTTTATTGTAACAAGGTAAAATACCACTGACATCCTTGAGTTACTGCACTTTCCTTATTACTGTTGCACTTTTCCCGCCCTTAATAAATAAGCATAATACTGTTTTGAGCCCAGTTTTAGCAGCCAGCTTCCTTCTGCTTTTTTAAATTGAAGTTGATAATGATCTTTATTCCTGTGTCCAAACTTTGTTTCCTCCTCTGTGTTCCTGTATGACTTTTAGATATGCTGTATTTGATAATGAAGCTAGGCTTCTCCAAAATCCATTCTAATTCAGTGAGGTAGTACACTGAGTAATTGGCAAACAGCAATAACTAGCAATCAATTGGATTATACTGTTAATTAATTGCTATGGTTACCACACATTACCCTCACTACAACACTGAATAGGGATGATATTGTTCAGTTGTGTTTTTCTTTATACTGACAATGGGACCTTTATATACACTTACACTTTCCTTGAATCACATACATCCAGGCCGTACAAGAGGATCTGTGGTCACCCTCCAACAGCTAGTCCAGCTGTACCCTGATGATATCTCACTGAAGAATGACCTTGGTGTCGGCTACCTCCTTCTTGGTGATAACAAGAAAGCCCAAGAAGTGTATGAACAGGTAAATCAGAGTTATGCTTTTATGACATTTAGAGACAATTGAAATGATGAGGTGCAAAATACAGTAAACAGGCACATTTCAGGTAAATTAAGTCAGACCATTAAAATATAGATTCTGATTTGCATCTTTGGGTACCAGCATTTTTCACATCGATCCATGCATTTGATTCAGACCATTGATTGTCATGTCATTCAGACTATGGTTCTCCAAGATAGTATGGCACATGTTTGGTTGCGATCCACTAGCCTATTTAAAAGGTGTCCCTGGAAATTATTTAAAATGTTGGTATGTAATCTACATTTATTGTACATACCGTGTTTCCCCGAAAATAAGACACTGTCTTATTTTCTTTTTTGCACGAAAAAAGACACTAGGTCTTATTTTCGGGGGATGTCTTACCTGGCTGGGGGAGGACTGGACGTCCCAGAAGGCGGCGTGCTGTTGCTGGTCCCGGTGTGATCTTATGCCGCTTCCATCGGGCGTGTGGGCGGGAGCTGCGGCCGGCGGGAGTGTGGGCGGGGTGGGAACTGAAATTCAGTTCAGACCTACCCCGAAAGTAAGACCTAACGGATTTCTGCAATATAAGACCTACCACCGAACTAGGTCTTATTTTCGGGGTAGGTCTTATATTACAGAAATCACTGAAGATAGCGCTAGGTCTTACTATCGGGGTAGGTCTTACTTTCGGGGAAACACGGTAATCTGTCATTTTGCTAAAGTTGAGTTGCTAACTGTAGAGCTTTTCCCTTGCTCACAGTGGGGGGCTGTTCAGTGATTACAGACATCAGTTATATAACCATCAGGTCATTCGTTTTTAGAAGTTTCTTCCCTTTGTTGTGATGAGCGCCTTGGAGAGGTATTATTATTATTAAACAGGATTTATATAGCGCCAACAGTTTGTGCAGCGCTTTACAATATAAGGAAGACATTACAATCACAATTCAAGACAAGATGGTAAGGAGGGCCCTGCCCGTGAGGGCTTACAATCTAAAAGGGAGGGGCAAGTATACATGAGGAGGTAACTGTGTGGGGATGATTGTTTGAGAAAGTGATTGTTCAGCGGTTAGGTTACCATCTGTTATTAAAGGCACTGCTTTAGATATCCCAACCATACAACATTTCCAAAAATATCTATGCTGGCACCTTTCTTAACATCCAGGGCTGGGACTTTCTTCTTGACTGTATTAAAGTACAGTATGTGCCCCCTGTTGCTTAGAGATAAAACAGCCTCACATACAAACACTGTGAAACAACTGCACCGAGGGCCTTTCTGCAGTACTTGTCTACAAGGTTAGCTAATAAATATTGCCTCAACCAGCCCTGATCAGGGTATTTCTATAAGTACCAAACATCACAGACTCTCTCTCTAGAAGACCCATGCATCATGTTTATGTAATATTCACATAATATGATTTTTTTTTTTTTTTTTAGGTTTTATTACAGGATCCCAGTAATGGATTTGCCAAAGTACATTATGGATTTATCCTCAAAGCAGATAACAAGATTGCTGAAAGTATTCCTTTCTTAAGAGTAAGTTATTTTCAGTATTTGTTTTCAGTATATGGTATGTTCCACCGGTTTCCAAGTGACATTATGTAAAGAGTACTTCTCCACTCTCAGTGCAGACAACTGTTTAGTTAAAGTGTTTCTCTAGGCAAGGTATATAGATAAGTAGATAAGTGTATCTGGAGTCAAAATCTTTTTTTTTTTTTTTTTTTTTGGGGGGGGGGGGGAACCCTCTGTCAAATTGTATTACTTCGTCACTATTGGGGAGAGTCACTCCTCTATATGTACTGTTTGTTAGTGTTTTTATGCTGTGATATAATAAAGGACCTTTTATTGAGGATCCTAATTCCTGTGCCCACATTTGAATTTTGATTGTATGGAGGGCTGGCTGGAGCCCCTGTCAGGGCCAGATTAAGAGCATCATTGGCTTGGTGCTGAGGATATTGGTGGGCCTTTTTATGGAAATACATTAAAAAAAAAACATTTTCATTACCATAAAAGTGCATTAACAAAACATTGGATATCTTAAACTCACAGTATAAACATACTTTTTCACTGAACCCCAAATTACCTAAATGAGGCAAACTGGTAGATTAAAATTAAACGCCACATTCGCTTTAGATGATTTTTTGCTTCTAAAAAAAATGTAGAGCACATTTCGTGACTTGGATTTTACCCCTCTATTGTACTAGTGACCATTGTCACTGAGAAAGAAAGTGAGGGTTATACACATTTTTAGAGTTGTTCCCAGAACAAAAGGTAAGGGCAAATCTGTTAATAGGGACCCCTGTTCTGGGGACAACTGTCCAAGAGAGGAATTCCCCTCACGTTGGAAACTTTCCTCTAACGTCTAACTTCCTGTTGAATCTCAAGGACAGGAAATAAAGGGGAAGTCCCCAATGGTACACAGACAGCAAGCACCTAGCAGGGGTTTGACCCTGCCCTACTCTATCCGAAACTAAAAAAAAAAGTTTGGCTATAGATACAATTTAAATCTAAACAGTTGTTCTACATTAATAACCTGTATTCTTGCATGCTTATCATTATTATTATTTTCTATATTTGGATAATGTACTTGTTTTGATTGACTGATTCCTTTATTTTAAGGAAGGGCTATTGTCTGGCGAGCCTGGTACTGATGATGGTCGTTTTTACTTTCACTTGGGGGATGCCCTACAGAGAGCAGGAGATAAAGAGGTACAAATTCTCCCTGATTCTTCAGATTTATTTTTTTAGAGCTCCAAAACCAAAATGTAGGCTTACGTATGCCAGCATCCAACAATGTGATTACTGGGTTCTCTTTATTGGCCTTGTGACCAATAAACATAATTGTTCTTTTATAGGTCAGTACACTTATGTTCACTTTTGACTTCTACATTGTATATTTTATTTTCCTCCAGCCCATGAACAAATGGCAATGGTGGGTTACCTTTTGTGAAACAAAATCCTGTTTCTAGCACAATAGCCAGACCATTTGTTCCTGGCCACCACTGGATGGTGCTGTTTGGAGATGGGAGACCTGCTCTGGATAGAGCTGAATGAACAACCCATCACCTCCTCCTCCAAGAACAGCAGAATGTGGTCAGAGCCGAGCCAAGAGGCTGAATAACATGATAAAAAATATGTGTTAAATACAGTAATTGATTTACTGCCTTACCTGAAAATGAGATAATCAGTGAAATAGGGGGCACTGCATGCCATCAATTAGTAGGAAATGAATATTTGGCTACATGTCACTTAGTCAGAAACGAAAATTAGCTTTTGTGTCAGTGAAGCAAACCACCTGTTTTTCAGATTAAACAACTGAGACAAGCTCGGATCAAATATATGTTTCTGGAAAAAACAAATATATTTAATCACCCTGTTGTGCTTTAAGTGGGGTTTTACATTCTGGAGATTTACAACCTATAGTAATATTAAACAAGACACAGTATCCTGTAAGTCTGCATAAAGTAGAAAGGTGAGGGCACAGGTTATACAGAGTAATATATACACTGAGTTGCCAGATTATTATGACCACCCCATCAGTACTTCGTTGGGCCACGAAATGACTCCACGAGATGACTTCGTTGGGCCGCCTCGTGACTCCACGAGATGACTTCGTTGGGCCGCCTCGTGACTCCACGAGATTACTTCGTTGGGCCGCCTCGTGACTCCACGAGATGTTGAAAGGTGATGCGAGGAATCTGACACTGCACTGTTGCCCTTCTGTTGTCTTGTACCAGTCTTGCCACTCTCCGTTCTGCCCTAACATTGACTGGTCGCTGACGGCCACAATTCGCACCTTCAGACCCAGATTTGTGGCTGACAGTCCAGTCTTTAAACACTTTAACAACAGCTGCTCTTGAATTCTGCTGTTTTGCTGATACTCCATGGCTCCACACCAACAATCATCCCACGTTCAAAGGCTGTTAAATCGCGCTGTTTACCCATATCTTCAGAAAAAAATCACTTGTACTGTCGTGGTAAACAACCTGCTTCCCTATTTATAATGGTCTGGCCCTCTAGCAACTTCAGCGTGAAATTATAGCTAATTATAGCTAATTTGCCTACAAACGTCAGGTGGTCATAATAATCTGGCCACTCAGTGTATATACAGTATATATTGGGGTGTGGAGAGAATAATACCCTGTTTCCCTGAAAATAAGATTTTCCCCCGAAAATAAGACCTAGTACTATTTTTGGGAATTGCTAAAATATAAGACCTACCCCGAAAATAAGACCTAGTTGTGACCATTGCCAGGGCTGGTGGTGGTGTAAGGGGGAACCTGAAGAGCCACGGCAGAGAATCAGCGGTGCCAATGAAGCCAGCACTAGAGGAAGCGAGGCGGCAGGACAGGGAGCAGAGCTGCATGAGCTGATGTTTACTTTATAGCGCCGACTCCTGTCACAGGCGGAGTGATACCAAATGCACTCCGCCTGTGAGGAATCTATAGTGAAAGTGCGCTTCGCTTTTTCTGGTTACCAAATTGCTCTTGGAAAGGTATGGCACCCCTGATTGCCCTGATCACCCTATTAACTTTGCCATTTTGGATTTGCATTAACTTTGACTTGTTGTACATAAAAAAAAAAGACCTACCCCGAAAATAAGACCTAGTGTTTTTTTTTTAGCCAAAAAGAATATAAGACAGTGTCTTATTTTTGGGGAAACATGGTATGTACAGTATATATCTTAGGGTGTACAGATGTGCAAATAGATCAGAGCAGAGTATTTCATATTAAATGTTTATTAAAGATTTTCAAAATATAACAAAAAACACACATACAATACAGTAAGCATACATTAAGACAATCACATTACATACGATATCCAAGGTAAAAGGGGGGACAAGAGACGTAGGGGTACAGGGGGGAGGGGGGTTGGTCCCCTGGTCGGGGCGCAATATGCGCATTCAAGCATGTGGCAAAACAGTGCATAACAGGTTGCTTCTCCAGAGCAGAGTATGTGTGCAGATTTGTGGAACTGAGATCAAAGTTACAGAGGGTGATGTAAAATGCAATTTAAGATTTTCATTCTGTAAATATTGGGTGGCTGGCGGTCCGTTTAAACCTCGAGGAAGGAAGAACTTGAATAAAAGTACCTTTTGCAATATAATGATGTATTCAAATCCCTGTCATGAATGGAGTGATTGTATTTTCCAGGCATACACGTGGTATGAGGCCGGCTACAAGAAGGGACATTTTGCCTCAGTTTGGCAGCGATCTTTGTACAATGTAAATGGACTGAAAGCCCAACCATGGTGGACTGCAAAGGAAACTGGCTACACGGATCTAGTGAGGGTAAGCATTCATTGCAAATCAGGTTAATATGCCCCAGCATGGACTGTGAAGTGAAGACCACTGCAGCAGGAGAAGAAAGGAGAGTGAAGTTCAGCCTATGTAACACCCAGGACACCGTCTATAGATACAGTGGAGAAATAGGTGTAGACATGAAGGGGCAGGAAGTGTGTAATTCGCAGGATTACCAGGAAAACATACCTGAAAAAGGAAACTTAATGCAGCCACCACATTTAACTGCTGGTATGCTGCAATCTGTGAAATTTAGTTTTTTGGTTTACTTACTCTGTGAGTGTTAGTCCACACAGGAAAACACAGGGAACAGTCTTGGTTTTGTCTTTTCTATGGGTTTGATATTCTGTTTTCAATAACTCATCTGAATTGAACAAGGGTCTGATTTTCCACCATTTCTTCACTATATTCCAGTTACTGAAACATGGTATATGGGTGGGTAAAGATGCTTAACCTCCTAGAGTGCTCTCATCCCATATTTATATAGCAAAAATATATATTTTTTATACAGAATAAAGGGACTTTTTAATCATAGCACCCAGCAATATATCAATATGAAACAATGTACAAAAATAGGACATTTATAAAAAACACAGGACAAAAACACAAAATATATATAAAGCAACAGTGATACTGGGTTGGTGCGATAGCATAGTGCATTACATATTATTTGGCCATTATAAAACAGATCAGATAATATGTACTATGCTAGCGCACCAAGCAGTTATAATTGTTGTGCTGCACATATTTGCATGTCTAATAAATGTTCGATTTTTGTATTTTATTTTATATTCCTTTTTGCTGGGTGCTATAATTTATACTTTATACATAAAATATATTTTCTCTTAATTTCCGTTGTGAGTGGAGAATCAAATCTCATGTGGTTATGATTGGCTGAGTTGCTCTGATCACCAACTCACGTGAGCTTTCCATCTACCAACTCCAACTCTTGTCCTACTCCACTTAAAAGAGATTTATTTTCGTTGGAATTAGTCTTTAATATTTTGGCACTTACTGGCTTCTGTTGTGAGGTCATTGCATTTGCAGAGATGAGGTGCACAGCTCATTGGTACAACTCTTTGCAGAGTCTCCATTCCACAATGGCTAGATGATCACAGCCTTAGATATAAGCTTCATTTAAAAGCTATAACACCTGTTGCCACGTCTCTGCTGAGGAACTCCAAGTCATTATATGCTTTTCCAGCTGCACCCTAGTAGGGCAAGCTGAAACCTGCATTTCTCCATTGGCTGGAGGGCTGCAGTCTACCCGAGTCTAAACTACAGAGTTCATTCATGCAAGAAATTAGAATTTTGTAATCAGAGCCCTATTGTTCTGTGATTCAATGTGAAACCAGCTGGAGAATAATGCGGAAGCCATACTTTTTTCTTGTATCCTCGATTGCCACTTCAAATACTATTAAAATGCGCATTTATCACTCAGAAACATTGCCTGTGAATAATGATTATATATATTCAACACATTGATTAGAAGACACAAAGTGGCGTCCGTACTATTCTCTCATTATATACTGCTGGTAGGACATGGTGTATTAGACACACTGTACTAACTTTCAATATATTATTTACCTGGCTACACTTTCTAATGAGATTCTGCAAAGTACTCCTTGTTTTTGTGTTTGAGATCTTTCAAACCCTTAGCTCTCCTCCATGCTAAAGGCTGCTTATTTATCATCTAATATTAGGGTTCTAAAAATAGACTACTATAGAGCTTCTACAGGCCTTATGAGCTAAATGTGTTTAAAAAAAAAAAAAGAAAAACACTTTTATATCAATAGCAACCAATCAGATTTTCCCTTTCATTTAGTCCGTTATATTTTCGAATGAAGTTAAGATTGGTTCTATTTTAGACCAGTTTAAAAGGTGCCCAGCTTTTGAGTACAATAACAGCTTGGAAACCGGAAGGGAGGGGGCTTAAAGAGTACTCCTAATGGCATTTGTAAAGTCATTTTCATAAGTACAAGCACCTTATAGTGCCTATACTAATGTCTTATGTTTCACTTTCAATTTTTGTTCACTTCATGGGCAAGAGTTGGAAGAGCTCTACATGAAACTAAAAATCACATAAGCAAATTGAGGTCTAGTTGATCCTGCAAGCAAATTTATCATTGTAAAACTTAAGGAAGACAATTGGAGCTAGCTTGACTTGAAACAGAGGGTTTTTTTTTCTCTTCAAACATATACAAATCTCTGCTTGAATTATTTATTTTTCTTTTTTCTCCTCATTTCTTCTTGCACATGGCTCATTGACAGTTGATTTCTGAAGCTTCTTCTAGACAGACTAGATGATAGTGGCATAGACATCACACATATTTTATCTATGGAAAAGAAGTTCAGGGAAGCCAAGCTGAGAGAGTTGGAACCAGCTGTTCGGAAACATAGAGACTATAACAGCTCAGGCAAAACTTTAAAGAAATGATTTGCTGTATATATAATATTCCCGAGTGTGGCTCGGGGTTACCGCTTTGTTAACCCCGATCCACACTCGGGAATACCAATGGCAACGCACGGCAAAACGCCCCAAAGATGCTCCTGTACTTCTTTGGTCGTAGGGCATTTTGTAGCGTGTTCATAAGGCCTGTAATACGCCCAGGTGTGAACCACACCCATAGGAAATAATGGGATTTCGGTGTTTGAGCGTTTTGCAGAGCGTAGGAACGCGCTACAAAACGGCCAGGTGTGAACCGGGCCTAAGTGAGTGAATATCTCTACAAGAGCCCTGGATAGCAGTAAAAACCATAGAGACGTTTTAATACTTCCCCTAAGTAATGTAGAGCCAAAGGAAATATCACCGCTCCAATTCCTTAGCCACCACCAGGACTCCCCCGGTGCTGGTCTAATAGGTGCGTCTCCACCTTGGAATGTAGTAGTATACGAACAGACTGCACTATCCAGAGAATTCCAGTACTTCAGACTTTATTGAAATTCACATCAAATCCAATATAACAGTGGATAAAGGTGTATACATGTGAAACATGTGAGAGGTCGTAGCTGGTTGGGGGTGTGCAGTGCTAGTATTTGCTGTTTTATACACCTTTATCCACCGTTACACTGGATTTGCAATAAAGTCTGAAGCATTGGAGTTCTCTGGATAGTGCGGTCTGCTCATATACTACTGCATTCCCCAAGTAATGTTATTGAATCCTTTGAAATGTGTGAATGTTGATTTTAAAAAGTCATTAAATGCATTTTTGCATGCAACTAACATAAGTACTGATATCTCGATATTAGCATTCTTTAACTACCTGCACAGCAGCACTCTGAGCCAGTCAGGGCTATAGTGCTTTCAACAGGGTTGTTACTCATGGTATAAACATGTTTACAGGAGGGAATAGCAGTATGATGACCACCCCAGAGTACTTGCTCATTCACTGTCCAATTACAGGCTGGGGCAGGACCTGGACCAGGCTGCATTGCTTAACTGCACTGTCTGGTAGGGGTGCCTGAATCTTAATAGTGGCTGTGAAGACCTGCTCATCAGTTTATGGGTTATGTGTGTGTTGGTAAAAAACTTGGGTTGCTTTACTCCTGGAGATCCGCTTTTACCAGATTACCCTTGTATATATGGGATCTAGTCCGTCAACCGTATCGGTAACCAATTAATAGCGTATAGAAAAAACACAGGGCTGACTGCCTTCAAAGGGGAGGCAGTCAAGGGATTGGGACGGACCAAATTTGAAAAATCATATAAAAAACAGCTTTATTCGTGCATAACCAAGCACCATTCAAACTTAAGAAGACATAAATAAAATCATGAAAGTTCACTGACTATAAGTCTATTTTGTTCTAGGCGGTTGTTATAGACCCTAAAAAAAGTTTTAACACCTTTATTCCAGTCCTTTAGAATGATTCCTCTTTAGATTACAGATTCTCCTTTGTGTTGTTTTAACTGGCCTAAAAAAGGTATCAAAAAAGTTGTTCTTAAAAGGATAGATTGTATCCCCATTGTGTTGGTATTTTAGTCAATGATAACACAGAAAAAGTAATAAGATGGTTTGGATTGTTTCACTAGCCCTTCCGTATATCCTTAGTGATAGATACATTTCTGAGAGGAACACAACTTCATATATCTCTTCGTGTGACCTCTAGTTCTCACTTTTCTGGTGTTCTGTTGTTTTCCGTTCTATCAATACATCATACTTATATAACGTCATTATTTATTCTTTCCCACATTTTAGTTTAGAGAATTAACTTAGTTTAGAAGATGCTTCAAAAATAGGAACAGATGAAAACCAGAAAATGATAAAGAAAAGTTCAGTTGTTTTAACTCACATATCCTTTGAGGAGATATCTTCTTATTCTTGTCTAGGAGAACCTTGTGATCGGTTTTTCCTCCTTGCTGTAAAGTCCGTGTTTGCCTCGGCCGAGGGTGTATATGAAAGACAAGTATGTGATATCTTTTGTCAGATCCAAAAGAGTCGGTACTTTCTTTATCAGTAAGGATATGTTGAGAGCGTCCGAAGGAAGGGATGTTGGAGCGTGTTAAAGGTCTGGATTTGAGGAGCAAGGTGTTTGTTTTAGATTTGGGTGAAATCTAAAAAAATTTGGGTCAAGTTTGTTTTCGATTTGGGTCACATACTTGTCTTTCATATACACCCTCGGCCGAGGCAAACACTGACTTTACAGCAAGGAGGAAAAACCGATCACAAGGTTCTCCTAGACAAGAATAAGAAGATATCTCCTCAAAGGATATGTGAGTTAAAACAACGGAACGTTTCTTTATCATTTTCTGGTTTTCCTCTGTTCCTATTTTTGAAGCATCTTCTAAGCTAAGTTAATTCTCTAAACTAAAATGTGGGAAAGAATAAATAATGACGTTATATAAGTATGATGTATTGATAGAACGGAAAACAAGAGAACACCAGAAAAGTGAGAACTAGAGGTCACACGAAGAGATATATGAAGCCGTGTTCCTCTGAGAAATGTATCTATCACTAAGTATATACGGAAGGGCTAGTGAAATAATCCAAACC